ATACTTAGTTCTGTAAACACATAATTTAAAGTTGTTTTTAATATTGAGCAACATCCTCGTTTGTTGCATCTCCACATAATTCTTCCGACTGAAATTTTCACATAATTGTAAAAGTAGTTCTCATATGCCAGCTTGGGATTGCTTTTATTACTTTTTATAATATTTTTTTCCAAACTTTCAGCCATTATAAGGGGTAAAAGATTATCAATAAAAATGATCCAAAAATCACCCGCGATGATATTTGCTACTAACGGCACAAATGGTTTCTAACAAGACCAAAGAAACGCCTTTGCCTGTAATAAAAAATTTGGTTAGACTAAGAACAAAAATACACACCGATGAATGGTTGTCTTACAAAGCTTTGAGCGAAAATAACGGATATTGTCATTAAATAATTAATCATTTTGCAATCTTGCTGATTCTGTTACAGGTATAAAATATTCAAAATGTAGAAAGCCTAAATAATAAAATAAAAAGTAATACTAAAGCTGAAAAAAAGTTGGAGAAACTTACCGCCTCAAATTTTTGACTTTTTTATGTTTGAAAATGCATTTGATAAGATTATTGAAGTGTTAAAATTTGAATAAAAAATTTCTTTAATAACTTTTCATGATTTTTAGGCCCTGCAAAAAATCATATATATTTCAATAAGAAAGGATTAAGTTCACATGATTTAAAATATTAGCCGATCTTGGCTCAACAATCGTAGCATATCCCAACGCAGGCTTATAGAAGGTATCAAAATGCAGAAACACCAACAAGCTTTTAAAGATCTTCCCATATGGCTCTTTATGTTATGATTAGGCTTCGTTTCACCTTTCTGTATTATAATATTAGGTTCTCCTAGCTTAATTGGATTTAAAGTAAATTTTTTTTAATTTGATTATAGATTAAATGCTATAATTTAACGAACGGTTTTTTCCCTATACCTGTAAAAATTTAATGTTTTAGATTGACCTTCACCAGCAGCACCATAGCAAAGTACCTTTAAAATAGTATGAATATCTGTTCCAAAATCACATAGCCATGAACCCGTTTTGATTATTTTAACAATTTAATAATGTTCACATTTAAAATTCATATACCACCATTCAAATTTTTCTTTCGGCTTTAAATTGTTTGTAATACGCATATGCATCTTACAATGATTACAGGTTTGTACGTCTTAATTAATTTCCATTGAAAAATAGCGTTAAAATTTTATTGTAATCAGCTTTAATAATTTGATCTAAATAATGTCCGCTTGTAAAAATTGGGGCAAAAAATATTAAAAATAAAACCAGAGACCCCGGCGGTGTCTCTGGGGACTCTGGTTTAAAAAAAGTACTGAAACCGACGATACTTCGACAAATATACCCAATGAAGAAATAACTAAATTCTGGAGTGAAATGTGGGATAGAAACCCCAAGAACATAACGAAAACCCCCCTGTCCGGATCTTGTCCCTATGCACGCAAAAACATTAAATAACAACATGGTATTCCCCATCCCAGTAGAATTTAAAGAACTAATCAAATACCTACCAAATTAGAAGACCGCGGGACCAGAAAATATCTATAACTTTTTTATCAAAAAGATAAAATCTTTACATGAACCTATGTATGGCTACATAAAGAAAATCATGGACAGTTTGTATCTAATTCAAGAATTGCTCACTACAGGGGATACATTTCTTATACCGAAAAAAATTGCAAAGCAGGTGGCGATTACAGACCGACCACATTCCTGGCAAACAAATCTAAGTTAGTAAAAATGTTTAGCAAGAGTAATACAATTTTAAATTAAAGGTAAAAATCTAATAAGTAAAGACCAACTAGGAACTGCTCGGGGGTGCAAGGCGCTAAATAACAGGCTATGTTTAACATAGCGATTAATAAAAGATACAAAAAAACCTTAAAACCACACGGATAGATATAAACCAAGCCTTTGGCACAATTGACCAGAATTACCTATTGCATTGTATAAAATCACCAAACTTCTCGTTCTGAATCTATAATTTCATAAAAGAGTCGACAAGTAGATGGTGGATTAATTTATACAAGGATAAAATGTTAATGTTGAATTAAAAATCAATAGAGGTACTTTTAAAGGAGATGGCTTGTCGCCTATTCTATTTATTGTTTGCATGGATTCTGTAAACAAGATGCTATATTTGAATTTCCCCTTAAATGAAATCTCCATAAAGAAGGATGAAGGCTTCAATACAAATCGTTTACTATTTATAAACGATATAAAATTGATGGCTGAGGAAGAAGAAGTCCGCGAAGACATAATTAATCAAGCAGCTAAGTTTTGCAGCCATGTAAATCTTAAAATTACCCCCCCCCCCAAAAAAAAAAAAAAGT